TCAACTACTGAAAATTTCACGTACGAAGCAGCGGGAAAAAAGTTAGTTTGTAATATAAAAACAAACTATTGAAACCCCACATGGGAGCTCCATCAATAAGTCTAAAGCATCCGTTCTCTATACTTGTAGTCCGTCCCTAATGAGGAGTAACGGCGCGCGCGTGTGTAGCCAGCCTAATGTGAAACGAAATGGACTTATTACAATGTGCACAGGTTGGAAAGGGACAAACGATGTTTAAACTGAATCGGGTATATAGGAAGGGAGTTTTTCTATAACTGTATAAAATTGTTCTGCCCCTCTTTTAATATTTATGTCAATTTATTCTTAGCCTTTTATCAACTTACAATAGCAAGTATGGGAAGTTATTGAATGTTAAAGTAGGTTACTGGGCTAAATAAGCACCATTATTAGCAATGTATCTACCCTGTCAGGTCGACTTCGTTCCCCCTGGAAACCATCGTGGCTAATTCTAGTTGAATGCCACGGGGGGAAATGGATTGTTAGTAATGGGGTCTAATGAACCCATTGCTAACAATACACCCTATCAGGTCGACCTCCACGTGGTTCCCCCTGGAAACCATCGTGAACAATTCTTGTTGAATTCGTCACGATGGGCTAACTGACCTGCTTCATCCTCACCTATCATCCTTCACTGGTGCTTCGCCGGTGTATACCGATAGCGCGGGCGGGGTTATCATTCCATTTGCATCCATTAAAAAAAAAACCTTAAATTATATAGATATTTATCCATTAAAAAAAAATGACCAAATAGAATGAAGTTATCACTTTTAGATTATTTAAATTTATAATAAATAAATTTAAAAAATGTGAAATATAAAGCTTAAAATACCGGTTACCATAGATTATATATCAGTAGATAAAGTGTCATCAATTTTTTACCAAAAACTTTTTGGTAAAAGGTTGAAATTAGGATAACATTAAAAACATGTATTATAATTGAATAACAATGATGTAATTTTATTTTTTGCACCTGTGTTCATTCAAAAATTATTTTTAATTATTTGTTTTAATTTATACAATAAATGTATATATGTATATCCTAATTATTATAGCTGCATATGTAACGACCCGTTGCCTTTGTCATTCAGGATTCTATTATTGTATTATCTAGTTGCAATTAAATGAATTAAAACGATCTCAAATTTAAAATTTTGATCCGTTTTCAATAATCGATGCTCTATTTAAGTGTATCATCCAAGTCCCTAATATGGGAGAAAAAGGAATTAGTCGATAAAATATTCACGTGCCTTTAATTTCCTGTGACAGCTATTAGCTATTTTATTTTTATTATTTACTAGCGGCCCGTCCCGGCGTCGCACGGGTGGACATTTTTAACATTTCCCTTTACTGCTCTGCTCCTATTGATCGTAGCGTGATGAAAAGTATACTATAACCTGCCCAAAAGTATGAAGAATAATTGTACCAAGTTTCGTCAAAATCCGTCGAGTAATTTTTGTTTCTATAACGAACATACAGACAGACAGACAAAAATTTTACTGATTGCATTTTTGGCATCAGTATCGATCACTAATCACCCCCTGATAGTTATTTTGGAAATATATTTCATGTACAGAATTGACCTCTCTACAGATTTATTATAAGTATAGATTAAACAAAATATGTTCAGCTATACCTGTCTAGATAGGTATAGGTAAAGATCTACCCAGGTATCTAGTTATTACAGCCAGGTAACATTCCTTCTAAAATTATATATGCATTGCGTGTGCTATATCTAGGTATAGGTACCTATTTAATCAATGCTTGCTGTCGATGTAGTTTATATCTACGTAAATGTGAGTCAACGACCAAGTCATAAGTTTTTGGAAATTGATTATACTTAAGTATCTATATTAATTAACCGACTTCAAAAAGGGAGAAGACTCTAAATTCGAGTGAATATTTTTTTATCTGTACCTATAGGTATGATAATTAGCATATATTTATTTAATCTGTACTACTTAATGTTATAGAGAGGAAAGATTTGTTCTTGTATATTTGTTTGTAATAAATTCAAAAACTACTCAATCGATGTTGAAAGTTCTTTCAATTATAATAAACTACATTATCAGCGAGTTATGCATTAGGCTATACCCTAATGTTACTAAATAAATAAATATTGTGAGCAAGAGTGGACTTATCTCTGACAGAGATCTCTCCCAGTCAACCCAATGCAGTTAGAAAACATGTTGCTAGCGGGCAGCTGAGGTGCTGAAGTGCTACAACTATTAATATTTAGAGTACATAAACAAATTTACAGTTTAATGTTACTAATAATATATATATATATATATATATATATATATATATATATATATATATAATATTAAAAAAAATTATCCTACGAAAATTATCTATAATAATGTAAACCAAGGTATCAAAAATTTTGCCTATAAAAACTATGTAATATAAAATACTAATTTGCCTTTCTATTTACTCGTGTAAAACCGGGACGAATCGCTAGTTATTCAAATTTAGCAATTATTTTTATTCCACCACAGGTAAAGAAGGAAAAAAAAATATTCAAACGGAAATAATGAAAATCCTATCGGCAAATAAAAGAGCTAAGCTCCTTCCCGCAAAAATAATAACGTGAAAAACATTGTTCGCCTCAAACGAATACTGGCGAACTCTCATTAAGCGCTCACTAATTAAAAAGTAATTAAATTCGCGAGAGAAAAAGATAGCACGACATTTAACTGATACTAATAAGATCGTCAAACAATTACGAGCGGCTCATCCGCAGCCCCAGAGAGAGAGGCCGCCAACACAGCTACACCCCTCTCGCTCCCTCCCACCAGCTCTCTATTTAACTTTTAATTTATACTCATTCCTTTATATCTTTTATTGCTTCGCCCATCGCGACTCCTAATGCGCCTGAGGTGCTCCTCACACTAATTAAATTCATGCAACACTAAGCTTTCCCAACACCCCCCCACGGCAAACTCCACCCAAAAACCCCCACCACCCGCCCCGGCCAATCGCAGCGCAGAGCGGCTTTTTCACAAACAGAAGGCGGGGAAACAAGTACAGTCAGTACCAGATTTCTGATAGAGCTGTCACGTCGCGTCCGAGCGGTTACGCTGTCCTGACATGTTTTATTATTATTTATGTCAATTAGGTTATTACTTTTTTGTTTAATGGAATAAGGAATTGGTTGTGAAATTGATTGGCCTTTCGGTTGCTTATGATTCATCAATGTCAAAAGCATAATCTGAAATGTGTTAATTTTATATGATTGATAGTTTCGCCCGTCATTAGAGTGATTGGACAGCGAGCCGGGCGTAATCTAGTTTTACGCAATGTATCCACCATTGTTCGAGCCTAATAGAGGCTGCGTCTTCCCTTGCCGTATTTAGCCGTTGATTGCTCCATCGACGACTATCACCTGTCAAATTAAGTGCACGGCTCACGGGTGAAAATCGAAACGTCAGAATTGTTCCCACTAATTTATCTATAGTTAAAAATTTTACACCATCATTGATCTTTTGGATATAGATGGATCCATCTAGTTCAGGTTAAAATGTAGATACAATAAAAATAAAGACATTGCCATCTGTTTTAGGATAGATAGAGCAGGTAGAAATACACACATATATAAGTAAATTTTACTTAAGTTATATAACAAAACAGCCAAAGTTTTGTTTTTTTAAAATGCATAATTAATGCTGATGTGTCTACAGTATTGTAGATATAGTAGGTTGTTTATTAATTAATTTATTCTCTATTGCACAATAAAACTTTGTACAAATGGCGAGCTTAATGCCATATGGCATTCTCTACCAGCTAACCAGGTTGTTGTAATTATAGTCTTATACACGCCCAAATTACGGTTTAAAACAATTTTATATTTCATCATCATCATCACATTAGTCGTTAACTGTTCACTGCTGAATATAGACCATCTCCTTGGGGTTTTTGCCAGTAGTTGCCACGCTTGGCAAGTGGGTTGGCTTTGGTAGGTAGGTATACATTTCTTTTTGTAAATAACAGTCGCTGATTTTAAGGAAAATTTGAAATCGTAGTTTTAGCATCCTTTTCAATTGACTTCAGAAAGGAGGTTTACAATTCGGTTGTATTTTTTTTTATGATTATTACCTTATAATTCCATTAATTGTGAACCGATTTGGAAAATTCTATTTTTTTTATTTGAAATTCTTTTTTTTTTATAGATATGTTGAAATTTTTTCAAAATCAATTTAGTAGTTTAGCTTCTAAATTAAAATAACTGGTTTGGCCATAATTAGAGTCGTAATTTTCTATGAAACACAATTTAATTATAATGCTTACTATATTATATTAAAGAAAATGAATTTTCCGAAATAATTATGAAAATAACAAAAAATGTTCTGAACACCTGGTACTAAAATGCTTATAATTTCGATTTCATTGTCCTGTACATTTGGCACCGATAGTTAGTAGGTATACCTACTTAATTATCGTAAAGGGAAATTGAAAACCGAAAGAATAACATATAAATAGGCACATAAAAGGAGTTACGTTGTAACATTGCTACATACAATTACACGAGAAGCAGCGTTTGCGGTTACGTTTCATAACATAACTCTTCAGTAATTCTAGCTGTACATCTCTGTTTGCGGCGGCGAGGCGCGCCATGCGGCTAAAAAAGATTATGACAGGCTCACAGCTTCGCGTAAATGTACGACAGCCCCATAAATCGAATGTACAATAATTTGCTATGCGATAACAAACTTTATCGCGCACTCAATGAAGTTTATTTCAACTTGCCGACACCCGTCTCCTGCGTTTTCGTTAATTCAATGTATGCTCGTTCTTAATTTATTAGCCGAGGTTCAATATCGGTCTGTATTATTACAGCATAAGGTTTAAAACAGTTTAACACGCGTGCTCACCGTACGGTCCAAGGAATAAATCTATAATATGAAAGAGGCGGGGAATTAATTTGTGCTTGGGTGGGGGTTGGGGGCCCGTCGCTCCGCCCAGCGTCGGGCGCGCCATCTCAGTGCCGGGCTTGACGAGCCACGCGATCGCACCATTGACTTCGTTCGGTACGACGCGTCACGAAAAATGTGTGTGAAATAAATTCAGCCGACGGACGGAGTGTTACTGACCGATAATTAGGTACAATTTGCAAAGTGATTTGTGTTTAAAAAAAAAACAAAGCGACTAAAAACAGTTTGAACGTGATACCTTTGCCTAATTAAAAAATAAAAATGACAGTTGAAAATGCAGAGCGCGCACCGCGCCGTCGGTGAGCGGCGTAGTGTTGTGCGTTGTCGATAGCCAAGATATCGAGCGGGGGCCGAGGCAGCGGCGGCGGCGGCATGGTGCTGGAGGGCGGGCTGCCGGCGCCGCTGCAGCTGTACGCGGCGGCCGCGGCGCAGCTGGCTCCGCGTCCGGCGTGGCCGCCATTCTTACCGTTTTTTGGAGTCCCTCCGCCGTTTCTGGCAAGGCCAAGGCTACCTCACCCGCTGCCAGCAAGAGCGCCGCACGGACCTCCTAGCGAAGACTCGAACGAAGATGGTGGCAGCAGTAAAGGTAAGATAACAATAGGTTTTCTCAATGTTTCAAGTAATACGCTATTATTGTCCCATGAGTTCCACCTTCCACCTTACTTATTTCTCATTACGGCGACATATATTAATATTAAAAAAAATATCTACTTACTGTTGATATTTTCTAACAAAATTAATTAAAAATATATATTGTTATTAATTTGTTTAACCAATTTTCGGAATGCATTATAACAGGTTTTACTAATAAAAAGCTAATTAATACTCTCTATGCGTAATTAGGTCTTTTATGGTTATTTTAAATCAGCAATATCAATTAAAACAAAATCCTCTATTCCTCTGTAAGTAGGCATGTAAGGATAAAATTCTATTATATACCCATCTCTACATTAATAAATATGTATTATTATTCTAATAAAACTTTTTTAATAAATTTGAATGTAATAAATTAATTAATGCATTAATTATTAATTTTAAGTAATGTAAATTAGAACTTAGTTCGATAATATAAAAAAGTAAAACAAAATAAATAAAAAAGAAATAATAGGAGTACATAAATATCGATTGTTACTAATGATAACAATACGAGTATAGTAATAATTCCTTATTCTTGTTTAATTAATAATGATCCGTTAGTATATTAAGCGCAATCCATTTACATGCGCATTATTGATCAAATTATTTCAATCATCATCATTTCCCTACCCTTATCCCAATTATTATTTGGAGTCGGCGTAAAATGTTTTTTTTTTTATCCATATTACAAAAAGATTTGGCTTATAATTTTATGACTGGCCGCCTGCCTGACGTCATGATCTAATTATTATAATAAAAAAATAATTAAATTTGAACACGTCAGTGTTAAATAAACCATGAAAATTAATAAAAAGATAATGATAAAAGTAATTATTTAACACATAAAAAAGTTTAATTAGATAAGTGAATTACCTGTTTATTATAGAACTATAGACTTTTCTTTTTTTTTTTTCATTTATTGTGACTTTAGCGAAAGCCATCAGCCAAAAAGTAACAATTACAAGGTAACAGGAACTATAGACTATTTTCGAGCATTTTTTTTTATTTCTACTTTATTAGTAAATTCGTGTACTAATATAATACCCATAAAAATTATAGGTTATAACTTACTAACTCAAAAAAAATTAACGCATCTCACCTAAATATAAAATTAATTTTTCTTCACAATAATTATGTGATAAAAAAAAACGTAAAAATATGTTTCACGTATATGTATTTTAAATAGTTATCTAAATGACGATTACGAACTTACAAAGATTACGAGATGCCTTCAAATTGTTATAAAATTAAATAAATTATCTTTTTGCTTGGTTTGTGTGTTTTTTTTTCAACAGATATGCTTGTGAAAAGTTCAAATTAAATTAAAATAGTGACTGTTAATGAATAGATAAAACTTGAAAAAATCTTAAACAACTTGTAATGCAAGCGACCGGTTTTTTTCACTAAGATTTACTATTTTTCTATATTGAAACTTTAAACATTTTTCTTCTCAAAATTAAATGTTTATTTATTTAATAATTATCAGATTTTTTTCTTGTTTGAGCACTTCCTTTGATAATCATTTTGAATAGTCATCTTTTCACTACAGCCCATTCAGAATGCAATCTCAGCCAAGAAGAACGGGCAAGAAACTCAGCTGATGCTTTTTTTTCAAAAAAATTAATTATATATAAATAATGAATTTGTATGTATACAAACTACTAAGCAGTATCAGATCATATAGTATATAATTTAAAAAAAATCACTAAAATCGGTTGCAATGACTAAAGCACACCAGTCCCTACAGGCAGCACCCGTTCACGAGTATGACGATAGAGAGTAGAGTATATGAGTATAACTCATATAAAATTATATGAGTTATGGTCATATACCTATCTACGAGTATTTATGTGCATATCACTACAACAAAAATATCACAGAATACACAGCGATATCTAGTTCCAAACTGAGCAAAACTTTTAATATGGATGGGTAATACCCACCTATCATATATCATATATGAGTACATACATATATTATTACAATAAATGCGGGTTCTATATCTGCATATAACATAGATTAATTTAATATATTATATTATATTATATATAATATATGAATTTAAAACTAATTAATAAAATATTTGTATTAATTTAATATATTATAACATATTTATTTAATATAAATTTTATATAAAATAATAATATGCGCATATCGAATTCGTGTGCATTGGAAGGTAAGATAGTGTGTTACCATTACAATTCCAAGGTAGTTAAAATACGTGTAATTTATTATTATTATAATATGAGCTTACAGATTAGAAATTGTGCAAATGCGAGCGAAGTCTTTTATGGTAAGTATTTGCATTCTAGATGGATACATTTGACATATCTATAACCTAATGGTTTATTCGATATCATAAGTTATAGCGATTCATAAAGGTGGCTGACTATGAAATTCAATGGGATTATACCCTACATTATATTGAAGTCATTACTAATAAACTGTAAATGTGAAAGTGAGTTTGTTTATTTATTTATTTATTTATCTCATAGTCTCATGATTAAACTAATCACTATAAAATTTGGTATACACTTACGACATAGGATGGATAAGGATATATGTAGGTTACAATTTATCCCAGTTAACGAACATATCTCGGTCACACGGACGAAGTCGCGGATAAAAGCTAGTGTAGGTATGTATAATTATTTAAAAACATACATATATTTGGTTGTTGCAACAACACAAAGCATCGTAGAGCTATTCATGTGAAAATGTCGATGATTTATCGATATGTCACTGTCACGACATCACTACACGTTGCGTCCTTGAATCTATGATTATGTCATAAACAGTGTTGTCCAATCGCTGCAGCCAATAAAAAATAATCTAATATTGAATGTGTTTGTTAGTGATGTAATTAGACAAGTCGGCGGTGCCGCTTTTAACTGCTCGTTAACAACAAACAACTGACACAATGTAACCGATAAAACGATGTCTACAAACGCATGTAAAGTGAATTTACGATCTGCCATAAATACATGTGACATTGATTATTTGTATAAAGCAACAAAAGCGAGGTTTGATAAGTTTAATAGTATCGGAAAGTTACTGCAAATTAATTTCTTAACACTTATACCTAGCGTCAACATTAGGTAATGTCTTAATACTTTAAATACCAAAACTGCTAAAATTGTTACTAGAGCTCTCTGTACTTAATAATTCACTATTTACCGTGGCTTTCTCCCTGGAAACTATCATGGTTAATTCCTGATGAATTTATCATAATGGGCTAACTGGCTTGTTTTCATTCTCATCGATCACCCTTCACTGGTGCTCCGCCAGCGTATCCCGTTAGCGCAGGCGGGGTTACCATACCATTTTCACCCATCAAAAAAAAATACAATTATTCACATTATCACGATAACTAATTTAGAAGCCTATTATCTATTTCTTTTTTAAATTCAATGAATAGGTGTCTGTTTTTTTTATTTTATTATTATTGCAACATTTAAATCATTTGTGCGCCGAGCGTGAACACTGTCAAAATTAATTACGATAAAAAATTTATGACACTCCAATATTTAATACTTACAAAACTGTAATCAAGCGTCAAGGGCAATTAATCATTATAAAATGGCGATACTAATCCAATAACAAAACACTTACGTTTACCTTTATAATTCAAGTGTTAGTTTGAGAGATTGAAAGTCTTAGCCTTACATTTTAATGGTTGTATGATCTATGTATTATTTGTGTACATTATAAATAAAACACTACATTAAAAATAAATTACAAAATAAATTATGTAGGTATATAATTATCAGGATTAATCAGTGTTTTACAGATATACAACAATTAATCTAACATTGGCTTAAGTAGACAAAGCATTATTTTACGTTACATATTTTTTTTTAAATATTAGTTTAAGTGTTTGTTTCACTTTATTGTTCAGAAAAGTCCTAAATGTATTATAGCTATATCATAAATTTCTGTAGGCGAAAGAATTTTTAAAATCGGCTGAGTAGTTTATGAATTTATTTATTACAAACAAAAAATCAAATCTTTCCTCTTCATAATATATTAAATGTTAATTATATACTTAAAAATAAATAAATAAGTGTTACACAATCACACCAATTGGTTACCTTTTAAGCTAGGATAAGTACTTTGTGTTATAAGGAACCAAGAAATGAACACTTGGGAACATAACTCAAACACTCAAACTGAAGCTAATTTAGAAAAGTTTGTTTTCTAAATTGATTCATCTGAGAATAGAACCCGAGAACCTCATTACGTTACGCTACAGAGATCGTCAATATAATTAATAGTTTAACAAATATGCACTACATTATTTAACTAAATAAATAACTAACTTATGTTTAAAGGAAATTAAAAGATTAAAATTATTGAAAAAAAAGTGTTGTACCTATTATGAAAGCTCATAATATTTTTAATCTTATTCAAGTACTTACGATTGTGATTTGAAGTGATATGATATTCGCATTATTACAAGATATTGGTTACCGCTACAAAAAATCCGTTGCTAGACACAATCAATTATGCATAAATCTAGTTTACAGATTAAAATGTAAAACCTTATGCTAGCTGTTATATTTTATTTCTTATTTAATTTATCAATTCAAATCCTGTGATACCCAACAAGTGCACTTATTGTCGTCTTATGAAACGCGGGAAATGTATTTGATTGAATGCTTATTTGAAATGACAAACATATTTTTGATACCGACTGGGTTTGAACTCTGACCACTGAGATCTTATTTTTGATTACGGCTATTATATCACTAGGCCACGGCGCTTTCAATATTAAAAGTTATGTATAATACCTATGACAGATTAAAAGAATGAATAATAAAATAAATAACCGGTCAATTTAGTCGAGCGATACACTTATCCGTGGCAATAACTTATTGGTTTAATAATATTAAGGCATTATTCCCGAAATATTCTCGGGGACTGGTTTGAATAAATTGTATATTAATAAAA